AGGAAAACCCTTGTGCATGGGGGGTGCTATATATCCAGCAACAAAGATAATGACCTGGAAATGAAATGAACAACATGACATTGAAATTCAACAGCTACAAAGCCCAGCTTAGCAGCTAAATCTTTACTGAATTTAATTAGTGCCTTTCAAGAGACCCAAGGACGCTTTAAATGTGTCACTATAGGGACAAATATTAGAAAAGAAAAAAATCCACACAAAACAGTTTTCTCTAAATGCAAAGTGTCTGTTTGTTACCTTCAGTCAGAACGTAGTCTTTGGTTGGTTGTATCTCTCAACAGTGTGGCTCCTCAGTGTCCACACACACTGGAGCTATTTATATTTCCTCCTCTATAAATACAAGATCACGGGGTCTTTGCTGCCACCAACTTTAACCTACTGCTAAATACCACCAGATCACAAACACATTAACTCAGAGCACAGAAGAAAGGCAAATATAAAAGAAAAAACCCTTGGTGAGATCATTCACCAACCTATAACCATTCATTAAAAAAACAGGTAAAAATCTAGATTTTTATATTTGTTTGAGATCCAATTCTGTTCTTCTAATAGTTTTATCTCTTTCAATATTGATCCTGAAATTGCTTTTGTTTACAAATGCACAGAATAGTGTAATGAAATTCCTGAAGAGCAGTGGCTCTCAAACATTTGCACTTCAGAGAACCGATATCGATGAGAACACAGTCCCCATTTAAATTTTATGTTTTAGATATGTTGTGTTAGTGAGTTTATGAAAATCAGGACCAAAATGGCCCTATATTCTCTCAGTGTGTTACACATGGATGAAATTTTAGTTTCACTTGTGTTAAAGTAGGTCTGGTGTCATGATTCTGGCCTCTTGTGAATGATTCAAAGACTGTTTTGGACCTTTTAAAGATTTTCTTTTTGGACTCTTCTGTGATGTTTTTCCTTCTGTGTCAATTTCTGGATTTGTCTTGTGTTTGATATTTTTTTGCACGCTAAGTTCTTTGTTTCCTGTTTTATTTTGAAAGTTCCTTCCTTATGTGTTTCTCTCACTTAACTTCTTGTGATCGTCCGTCTCTAATACG